TCTATGTATGATTATGTAGTTATAGAACGTGATCCCGTTCTGAATCAATTGAAGGATTAGAATCGAATCAAAGCAAAGCTAAGGTGAGTGCAATTTAATTGTACTTATGTTATCGAATAAATATTGGCTTGTGATGAGCCGGTGATGGAGTTACTATGGTAAGAAGTGAATCCTAAAATGTTATTTGATTTGTGAATGATATGATGCTTATGTGTGTATGAGTACATGATTACATGTTTATGTGAATATGTGATACGATATGAGATTCATAAATATATGTTTATGAGATATATGTTTACACATACATAGGGTATGTGACAGAAGAGAAGGAACATGGGATTATAAGATCAATGATTACACGTATATGTGATACGTGACAGAAAATAAGATATATGTGTTTATAAGAGAAATGATATGATATAAGTTATGTGATTACATGTATGTATTAATACATCTTGCTTGCATTACATGTTAGTGTGATTGTGAATAGGTAGGAAGGAAACAAATGATGATATAAGAATCTATTATAAGATATATGATATGAAATACATGGTTACACATACATGTGGTATGTGACAGAAGAGAAAGAACAAGTGATGAGAAATGTATTCATAATGATAATGCCCATGTGATGTAATATGAGAGCTAGTGGTATAGTTGTCATGCCAAGAGTCGAGGGTATACCTATGTTCTACGGAACATATGGACAGAATTACTTATGTCTTTCGAGACATATGGACAGTATACCTATGTTCTAAGGAACATATGGACAGTTTACCTAGGTTCTTCGGAACCTATGGACAGTTGCCAAGGATCTTTATGATCTCTGGATAAGTCCTTCGGGACATATGGACTGTTTACCTAGGTTCTTCGGAATCTATGGACTGGTCCTTCGGGACGAATACTGAACTAAGGTTCGGTGCCCATAAGGGAATTGATACGAGCTGTGGTGACAGCATTGGTGCACAACCTCAATGTACTCACATACCTTAAGTTCTCACTAGTGTACATGGGCTAATAAAGAGATTTAAACAAACATACTGAATGTGATATGTATACGATGGGTTTATAAGTGGTTTGAAATGTGTTTCATGAATCATATGATGTTATGTGTGATGATAGAGAATATGATAATGATGGTATATGTTTATGTATGCTTTATGTTATATGAAATATTATATGTTTTATATGCCTCACTAAGTCATCGACTTAGCGTGTGATTGTTTCACACGTAGGTTTGGAAAGCGAAAAGAGAAGTAAAGAGGAACAAGACAGGTCAGTTCTCCTTACCGAATGTCAGATCAGAAGAGAGGTGAATAATATGTATTTTTGTATATAAAGTTCTAGTTGGCATGTAATCAAAAGAATATATTGTATAAGCTCTGAATAGTTTTGTAAATGTTTTGAATAAGTTAAATGTTATAAAAGTTTTAAAATTACTCACTATTTTATACGAATAAATGTTTGAAAAGTCAATGTGACACTTCGGACTCGTATCCGGGTCGGATACGGGTTGGGGTGTTACAGAACCCGCCAAATATCCAGCATATGAACCCCAAGCCGGGTCTACAAACATAGACCCATAATAGTCTCCAGGAGGGGTCATCTATGACGGTGGCGGTAGCGGGGTCATAAAACCGGGTGAAGGCGGCGGCGGCATCTGGTAATGGAAAGGCGATGGCGGCATCATATATGGCTGTGTCGGTGAACGTCTCTGTCGACGTCGTGGAAAGGTCTGCCCTCGTGCATCCTCGAGAAGTAGAAACGATTTCCCGTTATTGTTGAACCACTCATAATAATCCTCAGCATACATCAAGAAGTCAGTAAAAATGGGCTCTCTACGTGGAAGGCGCCGATGTCGATCCTCCCACAATACGACCCACTCATGATGCCTCACCAACCAATCTGTATCTGTCTTGTCGCGTCTATCTAAGCTATACAACTCATCCATATTGCGAGGTGCTTCCGGAATTGGTTGAAAACAACCAAACTGTCGGAGCACGCGATCAGTGGAGTGCCACTCGACGGTCGCATAACAGATCAGATGGACCATCGCTATCCAAACATCTAATGGACCCCTCAACTCAGGTGGGATCACCGCCCTCACATCATCAGTAGAATATGGCACCCATTCAAACTAAAACAAATAATATATAATTTTTATCAAAATAATAATCTAATTATATAACTATAATCTAAAATCGATTTTTAAACATTAAAATTCATACATGTGTGCCAGCCTTCTGATCGATTAGCACCCTAATCTTTTCTAAATCATCAGGTAGCTCCTGGAGATTTTTTCTATCAGTAGACCACCTATTCAAGGGAAAAAAATGGTTATACGCTGTATAAAATTATTAATATACAAAATCAGTTTTATAATTACCTCAGAAGTAGTGGAAATACGAATGAGTTATTCACAACGGGACATAAAAAGGGAAATCGATACCATGCCCAAGACTGCAGCAGCAGGAGACATCCGCCGATAGCATTACGCCTGTAGTCAGTGGCTCCACACATCTCCCTGTACAGCAAAGCCAAAACTACCAAGCCCCAACTGAATGATCCGGCGAGACGAAAGTCGCTAAGATGTCGCAACCACATGCAGTGAACTAAGTTGCGCGATTTGTCCGAAATCAGCAACCCTCCTATCAGCTGCAGTATGCATGCCCTTGCATACATCTTAACCTCTTCCTCAGAGGCGTCTGCGCTCAACTCCCGAAAATTGGCATCTAACCAATTTAACGGTATCCTACCTCCGATAAAATTTTTCGGGACACGTCCTAGACTATCCCGACACAAACCAGTCCAAGAACCAGAAGCTATCCCCGATATCACATCTCCATCCACCGAAAGCCCCAGGTGCATATAAACATCCTCAAGCGTGATCGTGCACTCTCCGCACGGAAGATGGAATGTGTGGGTCTCCGGCCTCTACCGCTCTACTAAGGCAGAAATCAGGTCTGGCTCTATCTTACAGTGACCCTGATATCTACCTATGTAACCGAATCCAGCCTCTACTAAATACGGCAAGACACGACTGTGTATCACTAACTTAAGATTCCTAATAAAATGATCTAATATACGGTCATTCTCCTAAAAATAAATAATTACAAAAATTAATTCTTAATCTAATAATCATGTATTAAATGAATCAACTAATTATTAATAATAATTTAAATTAAATTAAAACGTTAAAATGTTACCGTATCAGCAAAGTGTCGAAATATTTAATTATTAATATAATAATCATGCATTAAATAAATAACTAAATATTACTAATAATTTAAATTAAATTAAAACGTTAAAATGTTACCGTATCAGCAAAGTGTAGAGATATATGATTTACATCCGATCGAAGTTGACTGCCTTCCATTATATATCTGCAAAAGAATTATATTAGTAAAATATTAAATAAAGTAAAAAAATAATAGTAAAAATATTATAAAATATACCTTAAAAAGAGAGTATTTGAGAGAAATTTAGAGAATTTGAGAGAATTTGGTGTGATAAAATTGATTGAGAATGGGGGTATTTATAGGGAGGAGGGGTCGGTAGTTGGGGGGTATAGCGCCCCCTGCACCGTGATATACCCCACGTGTCAGATATACATGTATAGCGCGCTGCAGGGGCCGCGCTATACCCACGTGGCGCCAGCTCACCGTATAGCGCGGTGCAGGTGGCGCGTTATACCCCACGTGGTGCCAAATCATCGTATAACGCGGTGGAGGGGGCGCGCTTTACTGCTAAGGGGTTAGATCGAGAAATATAATATAACCGGTGTTAGATCGATAATATCATCGGTCACCGGTGATATATCGAGAAAATCGCCTATATTTATATCATCATGATATATGGATTGGATTTGGACCCTCAACTGCAATTGCATGGAGTATCCATTAAAATAGTAATAAAGAATTGAATTAATCATACTTTGAAATTTCATACAATTTTTGGATTTCTCTCCTCAAGCTGTCCGGTGGCTGAGGGTTCTCACTATTGGATTATCCATAATTTGCCGCCTATATTCATTTGTTTTTCGTTGTTGGATCGTTGCCTTCGTCAATCCGACTTGGAAAGATAATTTTAAAAAACAATTTAAATATTATATAATAAATTTATCGACTTAATTATAGAGATTTTATTATGATCATCTATCTTTAAATTATATAAATCAAATTATTTAATTATTTATATAATATCAATCAAAACACTTATTATTAATAATTAATTAATATAATTAATATAATTACATATTTAAATATTAAAGGTTGATTTGTAACGTTTGGAGCCTGGTATTTTAAGCTTGTGGCACGCATTTAATGGGTTTCAAAATTTCTCCATATTCATTGGGCCTTTTCCGACAACAAAGAATAGCCATTAAAATATAAATTGTCTCAAAGCATGCAAAATTCTATTACGCAGGGCTGTAAATTAACCGAATGTTAATCACTATATATATATATATATATGAACTACAAAGGATACTTTGACTGTTGTTGAAGAAAAAAATCAACAGTTCATATAATGATTTTTGCCAGCATGTCTTGATACTGATTAAGCAACTATTTTATTTTACAATAAGAACTGGTATTTCCAGAAATGCCAATTCATGTGAATAATGTTTATGTAAATTTAGTGAGATGGATGCACCGCCAGTGTGGATATCATCAGCTACACGGGTGAGAGTTAAAATATTTTTTTTATTTTTCATAAAACAATTCTTTTTAAATTGAGGGGGGCTGGTAAAACTTTTTCCCCGAGAATATATAATTTTTTAATATTAATTAATATTTTAAAAAATAATTGGCGGGGGCCGCCAATGATCAGCTGGATGTGGAAAGCAAGAGAACACTAACCTGTGTAGGACAGGGAAAAAAATTTCTTTTGATCAAAGATGGTTTGATCTCCAGCTGACTATTCCCAAAGTGAATCACTTAATCGGTTCCGTTTAGACACCGAGCAGGCACATGATCTGCAGATTTGACAACACAAAAGATTCTCTGAATCCTCTCATTCCTCGCACATTCCTCCTGAAAAATTATAAGCTCATTGTAAGAATTCTAAGCTAAGAAGCAAAGGAAGACCATGGGAACTCCAGAAAAATAATATTACAAACATCCCTCTGCCCTTCAGCTCATCACTACACAACTACCTCTTCTGGAATACCGACGAGAAGTAGATATTATTCACCCATCATCCCACCAGATAAATGCAATATCACCTAAACTACTAAACCGATATTTAAATTGGGGACCGGGTATCACTCTGTTTGGTGAAGTGAAATCTTCTGCTTAGATCTCATATACAAGTTTTGCACACACAAAAAGGAAAAACAGGAAACAGAAAGGCACAATCCATTGTTTTCCGCGCTAGACAAATTTATTATTTTACCAAATGGAGTACAAGACTCATAGTGGATGTTGGTGCCAGTCCAGTTTCTAATGACTTCAGAGAATGACTTGGGCATCGAATTCAATATGAACAAGTTATCTCCGCATTACTAACTCGTGTACAATGTAGCTGAGGGTGGCATCCTGTAGTAACAATTAGGTCACCAGCAAGCACAAGCAGCCGAGGTTGATGTTCTTCAACAGCAAATCAAAGAGCATCAGGGCTAATAATATTAAAACCCCGAATCGAATTGTTCTGCTAAATCATGGAAACCAGCACACAGATTATTTTTACATTTTTTAAGAAAATGGATTTTTATTTTTGCACCTTTTCCTGTCCAAAACCACTCCAGAAACAATTTAAGCATGTTTCTCCAAAATGACTACTTTTTTTCATAACCATTATGTGCGATGTAGCCTACCTGGAAAGCTTTTAAGAGAGAATTGCAGTGTCTTTGCTCCCCTACTGCAGCAGTATACTTCTCTTTGAGAGCATCACAAACTTTCTGCTCTTCTTGAAGCCCAAGTTGCATCTTCTCAAAATCTGCAAAAGAAATGCCTCATTACACCTCAAAATAAACTCAAACATCCTTAACAAAGTATGCTAGAACCATTATTTAGTTTCTGTAGGAAATAGAGCTGTAGCCCAGTACTTTCAATTCAGTTAATCGGGAAAATTCTGTGTTTGTGTGATTTGCTAAGCAACTATAGTTACTAGGAATTGAATAATTACCATGTTTATGGTTCAAATATCTAAAAGTATGTATAAAAGTCGTACCAAAAATTGTATTACAAAAAGCTTATATTATTGTAGTTATAAACTTGAGGATATACAGTTCCGACAATAGCCTTCCCAAACTTCAGCTTTCTATCGTGTAGCATATCATAAAGATAAATCTTCACTACGGTCAATTAACAATCATCAGTACAGCTCTATGTTTCCTGAAAGTTCACAAGATTACCTGGTCTTACTAATTCAAAAGATGCACTCTATGGGTCTGTTTTTGACAGTTCAAACTACAACATTTAAAGAGTTACAAACTTACAATAAAAGAGACTTAAACAAAAGAAGCACAAAAATATATGGCATGCTTTTTCTAACCATTTTTCTTTCAAGGAATGCACATAAGTCTACTTAGGTGCAAAAGGACACATGCAATATGCAAAGCAGTCTTGTTAGATTACAAAGTGGCTTAAGTGCATTCAGCCTTTTCTCACCATTTAGAAGAGTATAATGTACAGGGTAAGGTCTAAATAAGATGCCAAAAAATTGTAGCACATTGAAATTTCTAGACCATACAAGAAAAATACAAGGCTCAAACCTTAGGCCCATTGATTTGTGCTAATGTCAGTTAAACTATTGTTTCCTTGAAATTGAGGTGGTATAGGAAAAGTGGTGAACATTAATTGCTGGAGACATGCTTCGTGAGTGTTTGAGGGAGTTGGTTTTGGTATTGTGTTGTTGGCCACAGATTTCGGTTCTCCTAAAAGATTTCCTGTCACATTCTTGGTGATGAAAGAGTTATGGTTGCATTGTTGATAGGAAAGTGGAGGTAAAAGAATTGAGGGATTTAGTTCTCTTTCTCTAAACTTCATTTTCTTCCTCTTCCACTCCTTGATTTAAAAAAACAAAAGGTGATCTCAGCCTTGGTTATTATTTTAATCAATAGATGACCAGCTAGATAGAGGATTGATGACTGAAATTTTACCACGAACTGAAAGTATAACATGTCACCACCATTTCAACTTCCCAAAGGCATTCATGATTCATGTGATCATGTCATAGTGAGAGGCAATTTATTTAATTTTTTTTAACATTTTAAATTACATGGGTTTGACTCATCTATATCAAAGTAAGTGTTTTGCACTGTACTAGGGAGAATAAGAAGTTCGAACAACCAAATATGGACCAACTGAAATGAGAATAAGAAAATATACCCTTGCTATTTTTTAACTCACTAGAAGGTAACTTCACTTGTTGGCTGCCTTTTACAATTCCATCCATGGACTCGAGCTAGCAATGGCAGCCTGAAACTGCTTGGAATTAAATACAAAAACATGTCAGCAAAGGTCAGAAACTATATAGTCATAAAGTTAGACTATGGCAGATCCAATCGGATTGAACATGGATTGTAACCCCCCAGACCGATGCGGAGGACCCGATCCGATCCGAGAAGTCACATTTGGGCCACCGGAGCGACCCACTGTAAAAATAACGGAAAATTTAAAACTTTTTATCAGAACATGTAAACTTATAAAATCATTTGTCACTATTTAAAAATAAAACAGATTTTCACACTTGTATATAAATCAAAATACAATTACATGCCCCCTAATCACATGTACCATTCTCTGGAAACAACGCCGGAAGAATTCCTTTACTGATGTCGATAACTGCACTGGTACAATTCTTTTAACCTGAAAAGGTGAGCAATAGAGTGAGCTTCGAAAAGCTCAGTAATACAGAACTACCAGATGATGCTGAAGAACGTGTAGATACAGATAAACATACATATCCTTATTATTTCCGAACATTTATAGATTTTTATGCTGAGCAGAGATCCTACTGATATTTCAGATGGTAACAGACAATGAGCTTTCAGTTCAGACAAATATTTCGGATGACTGAGTTCAGGAGATCAGAATAGGTTATCTAGTGTGTTCACAAAAACCATGTAACTTTTCAGATCTTTTAAAACATATATATATATATATATACCCCCATCCCAACACATCATAATGTGTAGGTTCCCCAGAACCATACACCCAACCCAACACATCATATAAGGCCCTGAGCACAAAGCCGAGGAACCTGCGAAACTTCTTCCTTCAACAATACCCCCCAATTAAAACATTTTCCATCCGTAAATGGATATATCAAAAATCAAAACATAAATCAGGTCAAGTATCATATCAGAAATCAGGTCAAGTAACATATCAGAATCCAAGTCAAGTATCAGATCAGAATCCATGTCAGATATCAGATCAGAATCTATGTCAAGTATCAGATCAGAATTCAAATCGAAAATCAGATAAAATATTCATGTGAGTAGGGAACACACCAGAGTTTATAGACATTATTTAGAGGGACTAGATACTCTTATAAGGCAGAGAAACACGGATCTTCAGTTTACAGATAGAATGTCGGTATTTAGGATCACTATAGGAATATTTCAATAACTATCGAAAACATCAGTTATTCAGAATGTGAATTATCAAGATCATATCTTATTCGGACAGTTTTCAGAAGTTGTACGTAATCAGAAGGGTATTCAGGATCTTTTACATCCATATCAATTGAGTGGATAATCGAACAACTTAACAACGAAGATTCAGAACCTTAACAATCTATGTCGATTGATCGCATTATCGAATAACTCTTAGATGAATAGTTCCCAGAACTAATACTTATCGACTGGTCATTTCGTGTCCTTCTAGGGTATTTACACTTTAATACCAAAAATTCTTATCCATAGATCATCTTCGGAATCATCACTGAATATATCTACCAATGTCTTTATTTCATTTTTACGCTTCCACTATATCATGAAATACTGACGTGTTTGATTTGTAGTTCATGATCCAGAAGAACAGTACATCGTGTATGTTCATTAACGTTTCCAGACTCATCCAAATCACTTATTAAAATCTTAGTCATTGAAGTTACTTATTTCACTTAGTAGTCAAACCCATTCCAATTACTTCAGAGTTTCCAGATTAATTTGGACGTCTCTAAATTTCGGATACATATTGTACTTCTGTTCAGTTCGGTCTTCGTGGTTGATTTGTCGAACAAATATCCAATTCTTAGTGCTTAACGCGATCTAGAGTTGAGCTGAGCTGAATACTTCCAAAATTATCATCGAGCCAAACTTGAGAAGACAAACACACATTCAAGTAATATTTATGCCGTTCAGGTACTGACATAGCTTTAGGGTTGATCTACTCACTTAAGTTTTGTTCCATAACTTTTAAAGGTAGTCCAACACCTATGCTTATTTGGATTCCTTAATTAATCCAAGACATTTACTTAATATAGGTCATAAGGGTATTTTGGTAATTTTGGTGTTCAGTTTTATTCCATTCATTTCAGACCTCGAGGATATCCAATCATTCTTGAGCTTGGTGGTATTCTTGGTCATTGTACAGATTCAGTGTACTTTAATCATTTCCTTCTATTTGATCATACTATTAAATTCAATCTTATCATTTATTTCAGTTCTTTCGAACAATTTTGACAACAGAACAACCCAACAAACTATTCTTCAGGTATTTACTCATAACTCAGATATTTCCGGGTCAAGTGCCTTCTCAGATTTTACAAACGGAATATCAGGAATTTTCCTGCACTAAGTCAGGATCTTAACAATTAAATCCGTACTTAATCGAGTTAAGTACGAATCCCCTAAGTATTTTCTCATTCAGAGTCAACTCAAACTATTCTACCTCTTAAGGGCATTTTCGTAATTTCTTAACCAGATAATTTCGATATTAGCTCTTAACGAAAATAATATAATTTAGAGATCTCATGATTAATTGCTTTATTGAACACTCTCTGATCTTGAAAAGGTTCTCTTAACAAACTTCTACATCCTTCACAAACTCTCATAGGATTAAAACCGGTTATCCATAATTTCCAAATAAAACTAACATTTCTTATGCACATCAATATTTTTATCAGATCAATATGTCTGTAAAATCCTCTTATCTAACTTCCATATTCAAATCTTATCTTTTTATAACATAAGGGTATTTTTGTAATTTTACCCTACCGGAGTATTCTCATAATTTCTCATCCAAGTACCTTTAACATTTAACATTTGATGAAATAAATTATAAGTTGTAGATACAGGGCTGATTTCTTTATCATTAATCATAAACTTGTAATTTAATCTAACAATTCATCAATCTCTTATATTAGTCATTCGATCCGTAATTATTTACAGAATTTCTACCACATCATATCGAGTGTATAAATTATTCAACTCCACCAAAGTGACCAACATTATCTTGTTCATGCATTTATCAATATAAACATGTTTCATAAAGCATAAAGAGGTAGTAAAGTATTATCTCGATTTTCGTGCAATACTGATTGACCATAAAAATTCCATTTGCATGCCTTTGATCTTCAATTCAACTTCCAATAATTTCTCAGATTCATATCAACATAAATTATATCAGAAACGGAGCTTAATTACGATAAACGGATCGAATCGGGTGATAAATCAGTGAAAGATAGCTTACCGGGTTCGAATTTGGCGAAACGGACTTCGGATTCGGATTCAAGATGTCGAAAGCATAAAATATGACTTTTCGGAAATTTGGAATTTTTGGTAAAAATCAAAGTCAACGGGTTTGACCGGCAATTTCGAGGCCTTTGGGTTCGAATTTCGAAAAACATACAGCGTAATCGGATTTGGAACGTCGAAAAATGTCAGGATAGGTATACTCGGTCGAAGTCAAAGGTCGTTTAATGCCCGGTCAAAGCCAGTCAAAGTTTTGGTCAATAGTGGTCAACGCCGGTCAACGGTCAATGGGTCGGGTCAACGGGTCGGGTCGGGTCAACGGGTCGGGTCGTGACCGGTCAAATGGGTTACAAAACCGGTCAAACCGGTTATTTTTCCTTGCCCACGCGCAGTGGCGGCGCGTGGGGGCGCTTGAACAGTGCACTGATTTCGGAAAATTCCCGAAAAAATTCCTAAAAATTATTTTAATCGATTTCGAGATACTTACAAAGTTCGGTTCAATTTTTTGAACGGTGGAGAGCTCAATTTCAACGAATCGGAAACTTTGACCGCTTCACCTTCACACGCGCCGCCGCCGCCGGAGAAAAGGGAGGACACCGGTGGACTCGGAACGGCTCAAGGAACACGATGGTGCGGGAAGTGTCGTAAACGGATGACCCGATCGTCGTGAATCGATGAAAAACCAACTAAAACCGAGTTATTACCGATGATATTTCCAACTGAAATTCACGACAAACAGCGATGATTCACGACAAAAGGTTTGAGGGGTTTTGTTCCTCGGTTGACAATGAACACGATGGTGGTTTTGGCTTGTCGATCGGAGGTCGGACGGCGAGTAGATCGGAGTTCGAAGGAGGGTTGACGGGAGAGGGAAAACTGGAAAAATTTCCAGAAACATACGGGAGATTGGGGGTATATATCATCTCATAATTAAAAATGGCTAAACCAAGAGTTTTGCCACTGAACTTCCTGCACTTCATAAAATGGTTTGCCAACTTTAAAATTTTGCAATTTAACCCATTGTTTCTTTAAAAATACCAAATTAAATACACCACTTTATAATTTCTTAAATTTAGCCCCTAAATTGGGGTATTACAATTCTCCCCTCCTTAAAAGAATTTCGTCCCCGAAATTCATTCGTGTCACATAATTGCAGAAATGAAACTTCCATCAGCTCTTTCATATCTTTCATGTAGCTCTTATAGAAATACGAATCCTTCACTAATCCTTAACTAGCTGAGCATACATTCTTATCATAACTTTTCCTCATTTCAATAAAAGAATCTGAACGAAAATTTTCTCGAGTAATCAATCTCTTCAAAATTCTCCCTCAGTCCAACTAAATAATCAAAACAACTTTATCCTTGTGAAATCAATTCAGCCTTGGCTACGTGAATAGGCTCATAGAGCAGCAGCATATCTCAATTTCATTTCCGGAGTCAGGTCAGAATTTCTCGGATAATTAACTCTCACATGGCTCGTGAGGTACTTTACATCATTTATACAGATGTTACTGGTATTTCTTTTTGCAAAGGTAGAGTCTTAACGAATAGAAACTTAGGTTTACTCATTACAGATAGGGACTCAACCATGGAGTTCCAACTCATAGAGGTACGATTGCAGTCTAGGGGCATGTACTGATCAGACATATTTTGACATCCGACCGGCCGGTCTATCTTGAAAATTTTTGACTCAAACCATAGCTCTGATACCACTAATTGTAACCCCCCAGACCGATGCGGAGGACCCGATCCGATCCGGGAAG